TTGGATGGCGAAGACCCCTGATGCTAAAAATTGGAAGGTCAAATATTACAAGGTAATTTTCTTTTATAGATATTTTTGTACAAAAAGGGATGTAACTACCAAAGAAGCTAAGCAATATTTCAAAAATTTAAAGCGCCATAAAAAACCTTTTGCACCTATGAAAGAAGGTGAACGAGAGTTGATCGATATGGTCTTTAATAAAAAGAAAGCTGATGATCGCAAGACATGGATAAATTATTTTGAAGTATGTTTAGAATTTTTTTTCTGTTACCTGATTCCAGAATGTAAACCTTTTAACGATAATTCGCATTCTAAATTTTTATCTTTTTCTAGCCCGGTACCTATGATGAGCAAGAAGAAACGGACTTTATCAGCAGAGAGTTGATCTTGTTCAGTCGAGCCGACAAGATCTTTAAAAGGTTAAGGTGAAGATTTCATATGGAAGTTACCAATAATCAAAAATAAGAAAAATTTTGAGATATTTTATAAATCGGAAAAAAAAAAAATTATTTTAAAGCAAACTTTCTATGTAAACATAATGGTGCTCATTTTAAAATTTAATAAACAAATTTTTTTTTATAATATAAACGTACAAATAAGAAAGATTATTCGGGTCTTTTTTAAAAGAATTGCATAAATATAATGTTTCCCAGTCCCAAAAAAACTTCCTAAATTTCAAAGGTTTAATATTTTAATAATTAGGGCCATATATAAGCGTAAGATATGCCGCGGAGTCACGTGATATGATTTATATATCCGATGAAATAAAATTAATAGTGACCAAAAAAAAAAGTTTACTATTTATACTTTGCGAAAAGTTAATTATATTTCGCAAAAAGTATAGTTTATATAGTGATAAATAAAAAAAAATGATCATAGTTTATATGGTCTATTATAGCTTATATAGTGATAAAAAAAAATGATTATATAGTTTATAGTCGAAAATCTAACACTTATTGAAAGAAGTCCATTTATTAAAAAAAGAAAGTAATATCGAAAATTCATGATGATTCTTTCCAAAAATTAGCTGCAGGTTGTATTTAACATTCGCAAAATTTCAACGCGTATTTCACGTTTGGTTTACACTTACAAAATTCCCTTTGTTATTTTGTTCTAAATATTAAAATGAGTTGCTAAACATTTTTTTTTAGCCCTAAATTTAATAAAAAGCCAATATATGACTCGTCAATAATAAATATCAAGAGTTTACAAATGCCTATGTGCAGTGATGTTCAGTGGAAGATTGGAAGCATATTGGACTTCCAATCTTCCAATTCCAATATTACTTCCAATTTCCAATAAAAATTTATTGGAAGATTGGAAGCATTTTATCATATGATACATTTTTAAACAATAATATTTAATCATACAAAAAAAAAGAATTTTATTAATTTTATTCATTTGATATTACAATTAAGTAATCAGGCGCATTAAGAGAAGTACTAAATAAATTTCTAAGTTAAATTCATTAGTAATAAATAAAAATCAATTAAAAAAATAAAAAAATGTTAATTAATTAAATAAATATCCATTAATCTATATTATTATGATAATGTTTCAATATCAAATCATTATAATTTTGATATAGAATTCATATTGTTACAATATTACAATTTTATATTGAATCCATATAGATTTCATATTTTTGTAGATTTATCATTATAATATCATATCGACTTTAATTCGATATTATTAACCATATCGTAACCACATTAAATCAATATCATTAGAATTTTAAGGATTTCTATAAAATATAGCATTTCGTAAATATCACAAATATCACAAAATTTTGTAATAAACATAAAATTTCCTATTATTACTGCATAATGTTACAAAATTGTTCGTTTCATTATTTGTATACACAATTATGCACAATAAAATATATAACACATAGTATAGATAATCTTTTAATATGTCTTTAAATTTATTAAACTATAATAGTAAAATTGTAAAATTATAAACAACTTTATTTCTTGTTTAAAATGATTTCTAAACAAAAAATTAGATTTATAACAGCTTATATACAAGTTGATGAAGTTGATGAATATAAAAAGTATTTCATATTAATAATATTTTACTTTTTATAATTATTGTGACCTTTCAATAAAATGGAAATATAAATCAATAAATGCATATTACATAAGCAAAAAATATCTTTTACTAAAAAAATTTGAAACAAACAAAAAAGTTAAAAGCTAACAAATATTACAAACAATATTATTTATCTTAAAATCAAAAAAAAGTAATAGAAGATTTAATAAAAGCATTTGCTAATACAAATATCCCATTAGAAAAAGTAAATAACTTACTTTTTTTAAAAAATATCTGAAAAAAGAAGAAACTACTTCACAAGCATTAACTTTGTATCAATTATACTTGCTTAAAACTTTTTACAAATATGTTAATATTTTAAAATTATTTTTTAATGCTAAATCTGTTTGTATTATTATAAATGAAATTAATATACAATATTTACAAAATAATGAATTATGTAATTGTTAATCCTGAAAAATCATTCCAAATTTTTGAGGAAAATGATGTTGATAAAACTGATATTAAGTTTAATAACTCTGATAAGAAGTACGAGATTCTAAATGATAAAGAATACTTATCTTCATTAAATATATTATTTCTAGATACTTAATGTAATAATGCAGTTAATATTCTTTTTACATATAATTTAGATACTAAATTAATATCTGTTGATTTTTTGAAATAAGTTAATAATTCAACTATTAGACAAACACTTCTTTCTATATTACTTTTTATAATATATTTTTGAATCTTTTATTTTTATTTCTCTCTGATTCTACTACATATATAAAAAAAAGTATTATTGTAATATTTTAAAACCAATTATATCACAATTAATACATCTATTATATCTATTATATTCTGCATATATATTAAATCTAAGATAAGTTGATTTTATTATATTATTTATTAATTATTACAAATATTAAATCTTAATATATATTTTAAACAGTAAAACTTGACATGATTTTCCATAATTTTTACTTTTAAAAAATTTTTTGGCTAAAGTAAAGAAATCATTTGTCTCATTTGTCAACTCACCTGCATGTTCTTTAATATAAAAAACCATTTTAAACTAACTATTCTATCACATTTTGTTTAGTAATAGAATTTTACATGGTAATACAATTCCAATCATATGTAGATGAGTTATATAATGAGTTTTTTATATTTAATATTAGCAAGATTTTTACAAATTTGAATATGAAAATAATCTAAAAAATAAAGCAATAAGTGTTCTTTATTCAATTTTACAAAATACATAACAATTAGAAACTATTATAATCTATACAAATTTTATTTCAACTTATGCTAAAGTATTTGTTTAAAATCTGGATTTCTTTCAATAATAAAACAAACGGTTTTTCTATTTGTTGAAATAAGATTAACAAATCTTACAGCTTATCTTAAACCTAATCAAATTGTTACTCATTTTGATATATCTTATAACTTGACTTTTATTTTATGCAACTCATATTTTTGATCCTAAATATATGCATTTAGGAAATAATATTTAAAGATATCAATATTCAATTATTAATGAATTTAATAATCCTTCTGATAATTTATTACATGAATGGGATATTTATTGTGAATTAGAATTTGATGAAAATACAAATGAAAGTAAATTAGTTATTTATTGGAATTATATTTGGTTACCTATATCAAGCTGTGCTGTTGAGCGTAATTTTTCTTTATACAATACTTTATTAGATAATGATCATCAAAACTTATCAAAAGAATCACTAAAACAACTTAATATGATGATTTTAATCGAAATAATTAAATAATTTGTAATTTTATTAATTTTTTTGTTAATTGTAATAAAATTATAATATATGGGAGCGTTTCCAGTAAAATCACATTACGGATCATATGATTTACTATGTCTCATGACTTGATTTTACTGGAAACGTTCCCATATAATATACGTAAAAAACATTATAATAAATTTGTAAATATTTCCGAATACTATATACTGAAAATCATTTTTTTCTGTATATAGAAAAATACGGAATTTATACATCTAATCAATATATTATATACATAATTTTACATAGATTTTATATATCTAATTAGTTTATTGTATATGTTAATTTTGGTTGAATTTATGTCTAATCAGTATATTATATACATTATTTTTAATTAGTATTTCTGTATATAGTCAACTCTCTATATAGTCACTTCCTATATAATCATACCCCTTCTTTAGTTACATTATAATTCTACCCAAATTTTAAAAATCGCCTCCTATATAATTACATCAAATTATATCATTACAGTAAATCATATCTATATTAATTTTATTATACAAATAATATCTAAAATATCTAAAAATAAAAAGAGTAGAATTTCAGTTAATACTACTCTGTTTCTTATGAAAAAACTACTATTCGAATCCTTAAACCTAGATGAATCTAATAAGCTAATAAATATCGATTTCAGATTATCTAATTATGAGATAATCATGATTGAATTATTGACTGAAATTATAATTCAATAAATTCTACTTAAGAGACCTGACTAAAGTAAGCCTTTTAGAAATGATATTTTGGTGATTTTCTTATTTTCTTTATTTTTCTTTACTTTCTTTAGGAATACATTAAGGTAAGTAAATTTTTAATGAATTTTTATTTTTAATTGTTTCTTTATTTTTTCTTTACTTTTTTTAGAAATATATTAAGGTAAGTATGGTTTTTAGTAGGTTTGTTAACTGTTTCTTATTTTTCTTTACTTTTTTTTAGAAATATGTTATACAAGTGATAATAATATAGATTTTAAGACTATTAGAAAAACATAATCTATAATTATGGTTATGAGTACTGAGGGTTCTGCTATTTTACAAAACTTGGAAGTAAGAGATTTCTTCTTATGAGTCTTTTTCATAGATACTGCATTTTGTATCACTTTTTTTTTACAGCATAGCAATTTTAGCCAGAAGTATTTAGAGTATATTTATTATCCATCACTCTTCTTAATTTTCTCCTCAACTATATATTCTATTTCAGGCTTTTCGAGATCTTTCTTTTTCTCAACTATATATTCTATTTCAGGCTCTTCAGAGTCTTCAGGATCTTTCTCAGCATTTTAGTATATATAATTAATCTTTTTAGTCCTCTTAACTCCAGGGTAATTAATCTTTGTATAGCCAGTCTTTCTACAGACTAAGCAATAATGAATAACTTTCTGAGAGATAATTTGTTTAACTAGTGCTTTTTATACTATCTTTTTAACAGCTTTTTTTGTAGTATTTGTATTTCTAACCTGTAATTCTAAGAAGGAAATCTTTTAACATAAGATACTTTTTATTCTAACCTTTTACTAAGTTTATCATAGATATGTGATCCTAAG